CAAGCATATTTACTAATTCTTAGGGCTTATCTAGCGCTTGACATAGATTTTTTCGTGCTTATTTTCTTCGGCCCTGGTCATAAATAACTCAAAAGGCCAAAATTCGAAAAAAACGGCCTCAAAGTTTTGAATTTAAATATAATCCAGACAGCTATGAAATCTTTACCCAACATATTAGCTTTGTTGCTTTGCATATTCAACTCAATATTTGTATTTTTTGGATTATCTATGCCACTATTGAAGTAAATGAGCTACATTTATTTTTTAAGTTTTATCTTATTTAGTTCTGGAGTTTGTGCTTATTATTTATGTACTTATTTATTCGGCAATTATCATTTATTGAAACCCTGTCCCTTCGTTAATTTTGTTAACTTTTATTATTGTCTATGACCAAAGTAAGAAACCACTCTTATTTTTGTAGCTCAAAAATTTTGCGTTATATAGCGTTAAGGTTAGGTTAGGCTGTAGCGGTCGTCTATAAGACGTACTTAGCCTCAGGGCCCATTGTGAGGCCGCATGTTGGGTCAGCAACTCGCAATTGGTCTTAAACCCATTTTGAACTTAGATTTCCATGCATGTAAGGTCCTCCAAGTTGTTGAAAAATTGCCTGCCACAGAGTGGGTGGTCTTCGTCTGGATGGAGTAGGGCACTGTCCCGGAACCCATATAATCTTTGGGCGAAATGACTCAGCCATCTTGTTAAGAGATACGCGGCATTTTATGGCTACCACGGAGGTTTTCATTGCCGTCTAATTGTCAGTGAAGACGTAGATATCAAACGCTATCTCCTTCATATAATTTCCTTTATTTATTTTCTCAGTGTTTAGTAAAAGTCTTTTCGTATTTTGGACTACAAAAGTAACCTTCTGCTTTCTGACCAATACCGCTAGCTTCGTAATAAGTGGAAATCGAATTTTCCTATATAGTGTACATGTCTGTATGTATGTACACAAGTCTGGGCAACCGCCAATCTTTGCAATTAAAGCACGAGCATACACACATATGCTAATATTTTCCCCAATACATATCCATAAATAAACAAATATGTATGCGTATACATATGAACATACAGTGCCGGACAAAAGTATTGGCACAGAGAATTTTTCGCAATATCTGAAAAGTTGTTTATTCTAATTTATTTTCGATAATTTTTTATAAATATATAGTTCGTCCTACACCAAAAAAACATAAAAACTAAATCTCTAAATTTTGTGCAAAACTCAGGAAAATTCAATAAATTTGCGTACTTATTTGCAACTTTCTATTCAGATTTTTTAGAAAAATTCTAAGTATGCAGTTTTATAGCTCAACTAATTTTAGTACAACAAAGTGCAAGCCTGAAGGTGCTAAAAAATCGCATTGATTTTTGGCCATTTTTTTTTCAGTCAGGTTCTTCCGTACAAAGTATGTTCGACAATTATTTTTTGTATGGAGAAAATGAGCAACACCTTCTACTAAAAAAATGTCCAAAAATCAACGCAATTTTTTAGATACTTCAAACTTGCACTTTGTTATAAAACTACATACTTAGAATTTCTCTAGAAAATCTGAATAAGAATTTGCAAATTAGTATGCAAATTTATTGAATTTTCCTGAGTTTTGCACAAAGTTTAGAGATTTTATTTTTTTGTTTTTTGGCGAAGTACGAACTATATTTTTATTAAAAAATATTGAAAATAAATTAGAATAAAAAACTTTGTATATATTGCGAAAAATTCTCTGTGCCAATACCTTTGTCCGGCACTGTATATTTACTTATATATGTATGTATGTATGTGCATAGCTTCATATATTTGTATCTTACTTCATGCTTCAGCTGGTACAGCATTAAACGCTTAACGCTGAGATTTCGCAATTAATTCTAAGATTAATACAACCGAAGGGAGTAATTCATATAAATGCATGTGGGTGATTGTATGCGTCTAGGCGTGTGTGTGTTTTGCTGGCTATAATTACATACGGATACCAGTGCGAACTTAGGAGGAAGTAAAGCGTGTAGCAGCGGATGTTCAACCGCAAGCAACAATAGCTAACGATAGCTGCAATATTAATAACTAAAAGCTGTAGATAGAGCTCAGGAAATGAGAAACGGATCCGATTGTGTTAATCTATACGTGCGTAGGTGCTTGTTTAGGATATTTACTGTACTGATGAATTTAATTGAAGCAATAAGGTAAAGAACTACATAATATGCACATATATATGTATGAAGCTATGTTCTAGCCAAAGCAAATTCACACGTTTATGAAAGCTTAAATCATTTCCATCATATGCCTAAATAATTGAGACTTTAATTTTTATTTTAACCAATTTAAAAAAAAAAAAAATGAGGAGGTTATCAATTCGTCGGAACATTTTTTTTATGTACATATGTTACCGCATAACTTCCGACCACTTTAACCGATTTCGATAATTTTTTTTATCAGAAAGGTGGTACCTCAACGGTGGTCCCATACTAATTTGGTTTAAACTCGATTATAGGATTATTGGAAATTAACGATAATGCTAAATTTTTCCATCCGTCCGTGTACACGATAACTCGAGCAAAAATTGATATATCTACGAAATTTGGTATGTAGGTTTCCGTTCACCTAAGGTATTGAAGGTTGAAGGTTGGTATTGGAAATGGGCAACATCGGTCTATAACCACGCCCACTTCCCATATAACGGTATTTTCGAAAAATGCAAAAGCTCCGATATTTCAGTAAATGTTGGATCAAAATTGTTGAAAATGTGAGTATGTTATATATGTGAAGTCGAATTTTGGTAAAAAATATTATTATTATGAAATTTTTGGAAAATGGGCGTGACCCCACCCAGTTATGATGAAATGCTGTATCTCAGTAGCCGCTTCATCAATGCTCCCCAAACTGGGTACGAGCTTTACCTAGGGCTTAGCTAAGAAATCTGTTGAAAATCTTTGAAATCGGGCAATAACCACGCCCACCTCCCATATAACGGTACTTCACAGAAACATGAAAACTGCGATAAATCAGTAACTACTGAAGCTAATTGACTCCAAATCGATAATTACAATAACCGCTTAGCACAAAATAAGACTATTATACATTTTTGGATAATGGGCGTGGCGCGGCCCCTTTAGGACCACAAATCTGTATCTCGGTAACTGATTCATCAATTTCTACCAAACTCGGTGCACTTAATAACTTTAGTACAAGGAAGAAATTCGTTGAAAATTATTTAAATCGGGCTAAAATTACACCCACTACAAGGTGTATCACGGTAGATTTCTATCAAACTTGGTTCAATTATTTCATTAACTCTAATTCGGCATATTATCGAAAAAGTTTGAAATCGGCAAAAACTCCCCTGCATATCGCAAATGTAGTTTAGAGAAAGTTGAAACGACGATATTTGATCCCTGCACCGGGTATATAAAATTCGGTTTCGCCCTTTACTTGTTATGGTTAAATTACTGGTAGGCTCAATTTCAAGTCCGTCTCTTCTGGCTGATCTTAGCTTTAATGTTCCCTCTCTCTGAAATGTTGTAAAACTAATTTTGAATTGCGCGACCCACTCCGTTGCTTATGCCAGGCTTTTAACTCTCATTCCAGCACGTTTGATTTTTAAGATCCTCTTTTCGGCATTAAGAAAGCGATACTCTCCTCTCTCAATAAATGAATTTGCCGAATATGAGTGTAGATGTTGTTAGTTTTTAAGCGTAGTTTGATGTCTCTGATTGGCTGTATGTAGATATGTATAAGCAAACATATTTGTGGGTGTACTAACCCTGCAGTGAAAAGCTAAACCAGTATGCACAAATTCCAGTTCATGAACTATTATTTAAGGATAAAAGTCATACCAGTTCGTTATGAACCATAATTATACCAGTTCCGCGCAGAAAAAAGTAAACTAGTTGGTAGAAATTCTAGTTCGAAAACTGGTATTAAATGGGAGAGTCATACCAGTTCGTCATGGACTATAATTATACCAGTTCTCTGCAGTGAAATGCCAAACCAGCCAGTATAAATACTAGTTCATTAACCAGTATGTGTAAAGCGACGGCCTGCCATTTCGGCGATTTCGAACTATTTATGCGATCAGCGACATCTGTCTTTGAATAGGCATAACCAAAACTAAAACGTGGTTAATTGCTTTCATCACAAATATCGGCTGTGGCGTCGAGTGAAGACTACCGATTCTGGTTCTGAGATCTCAGGTTCGAGTACGCGTGGAGGTTGTTAAAGTAAAGTAAGTAAATTAATTTAAATAATTATAATTATTTCAATTTAAATATAAAATAAAAATTGTACATAAATTTAATTTGATTTGGAAAAAACCTAAATACTCAAATACCATAAAAAAATTAAAATAAATAATTTTTTGTTCTTTTTAAAACAATAAATTTAAAAATTACACAAGAGATATAAATAAAAAAAAATAAACAAATAAAAAAAAGCAAAAAAAAAGTTTCGCTCACTGAGATTCGAACTCGGATCTCTTGATTTGGCGTGCCAAAGCTTTACTCTGTCGACCATTGCCACTGTTGCAGCGCCGCGAGCAAAATGACATACTTATGCTTTTCATGGGGGATGAATAGGCAGTCTATCCCACCAACTGCTAACATTGAAAAAGGATACAACGTGAACTAGTTGGGCTGAAACCCAAACTGGTAGCATTCTGGTTCACAACTGGTAGCTTTTCCTGCAGGGAATAGACTACTAATGAAACTGTTTAAATTAGGCAATATACAAAGTTGCAGATGAAGCTTGATTTTACAATGCAATGCTGCTCCAACATTAATTTCTCTAACTTAAGTACTTTTAATGGTTAGTAGAGTTAATTAGTTTGTGTTTTAGTAATGCTGTATTTAAGATCAAATGCATAGATAGTTTTGAAAAACTGAATACGTACTATACCCAAATATGTATAAGAAATTCTCGTATAAGGGACTTCGCTAATTCAAAATGGATTACAGTACTAGTTTAATTATGCAATAGAATATTTTATTACATATGTACATGCAAACCTGTTTGATTACGGAAAATCTTTTATTCTCTCTTTTTCCATGTTGCAGACTACCCATCGGCCGCAACAGCAAAAACGAAGCTAGTGCGTGAATCGCAACTACTTTCCACTGCCGCTTTTTTACTCATCACCGCAATCAACAGCCTTTTGGCGCCCACAATAGAAGCAATTATGCAAGTAGGCGATGGAAGTCATCCAGAGACTGCAACCGAACGAGGAAAAAATGCCACCGAAAATCAAATTATTTGTCAGCACTGCCCAGAAAACGCAGATGGAGAGCGAGAGCGAATCACAAATAGTTCTAGCGAAGAGAGTGCAATAGTAATGGATGGGTTGATGCACAGAACGCGGTGATAAGCTGCAATTGAGTGAATTAAAATTATTAATTATATTATATACAACAAAAAAAGTATGAATAAAGCGAATTCAAAAATTAATTTAAGCGTAATATTACTGAAGAATGTGTCAAAATTAAATTAAATAAACATTTAAATTGCGTACATACATATGCACATTAGGATGGCCCCTAGTTATATGGAGAAAAATAAAAGTGTTTGGATTCTCGGTCTCACCCCCTAGAAATGTGTGAATGGCCTAAAGACCGGAGTATACAAAGTTATAGATCAATCAAAAGAGATTTAGAGGTGGCTCAAAGCGCTCAAAATTTCCCATGTTTTTATATGGGGAAAAAACTATTTTTCGTAGAAATGGTAAAGAATCCTTGAATATCAAAATTTTTCAAACGGCAAAATCACTCTTTAAGACTCTTCAAAAAACATTACCCAATTGGTTATCTAAAATTTGTTTAATATGAACGATTTTTTATGCGTTCCCCCATTGCATTTTGTCGGCTTTTTGGGGACCCATAGCAAATAATTAATATTAATAAATTATTAAATAAACGATTGAGAGTTTTTTCTGAAAGTCACCTGAAGAGAAAAGAGTTTGTTGATTGAAAAATATTGATTTTCTACCATTTCTGCGAAAAATAGTTTTTTCTCCATATGAAATACATGGGAAACTTTTAGACGGTTCACCCATTTCTAGGGGGTGAGATCAGGCACCTATGCTCTTTTCGAAATAAGGGCCACCCGATTGTACATACATACGTATATACATTTCATACACACATCGATGCACCTCATGGGGTTGGATAAAGGTGGGCGGACTTGCGCGGCAGTAGCTACTACATATACATACATGTTTGTCAATGGCTTATTTAATCTTGAGCGCTTTCAAAATTAAACCGTAAGCTAGTAAACTTATTGTCTTGATGAATTTCACACCATATACACAGTTAGTGCCAAATATTGAAAAATTGTACGCCACTTTCTTTTTCTTGAAAACACTCAAAACTAAAATGTGTTTTTTTTTTTGTCTTATTATTAGCTTTATTTACATACATATCGTTACCTGAAATGCAAAAGGCCGTAACCAACATCGCCATTGAAATGCAAAAGGCCACAGTTAGATAAAAAAAAAAAAGAAAATTCACTTTTTGATTGATTACACCGCGCGACGGTAAATTTTACACACATAAAAAAAAATATATGTATATATTTGCAAAACTTTTTGGCAAAAATAGTAAAACTGCGTTTTTAGATCTTTTCTCTGACGTCAGGATTTTTTAAAAGGACTCTGAAATTTCAAAAATATGATGAACTCAAAAATTATTTAAAAAATTCAGTGCAATTTAGAATAGTAATTTGGGTATCAAATAAAAGAGAAAATTCTATAGAGATATAGTTTTTTAATACACCAGGACGAAAGCGGAATGTGATGCATTTCGTTAAATTTCAAATATTAATGCAAAAAATAAATTTGTTAACTAAAGCTTTATGCATTTCAGGTGACGATTTTAGTTGCGGCCTTTTGCATTTCAGGTGACGATATGTGCATGCATAGATGCAGACTGTGACATGAGACTTGCTGTAGTATTGAAAAATAGTTTCTTTCATGACGCGATATTTAAAATTTTACTGCTACTTTCTCAATGCATTGCCAAAACAAAGTGTGATTTGCAGGAAAATCTTAGCAAAGACTTTTTGATTTTTAGTTCTTAAAGTAAGAAGATATAAGGTATTATTGTGTGAAACATCGTAGCAATGAAATGAATAAAAATTCTTTCTGTTTCACAAAAAGTCTTTTAATAAAGTCATTGACTTGCTTGGGATCTTATAGCCAAACAAAGTACAGTTCTATAGAAGTATTGCAAATGACAGGGCGAAATATTATTTACGGTTTGTATATGTATGCACGTATCTGCGAAAATTGCTCGACTGTTTTTAGATCACAACAACCTAGTTTTTCTCTTTTTAAATGCTTCTAAATCCATATAACATAAACAATTTTTGAGTACGTTTTTTACCAATTTTCGTTAAACTTCCCTTGGGTCTGTATTGAATATTTTTTTTTGTTAAATTTTTAAAATGAAATTTTCCACATTTCTGATAGCTTTGTTTGCCTTTGCTTCCTTGTTTCGGAATATTTCGTTTCAAATAAATGCTTCGCCTATAATTTTCCAATTCCCCCAATTGGTGTTGAGAAAGCTTTTCCCACACAGAATAAATTTGCTTCTTTGTTTTATACCAAGAGAAAACATAGCGTTGAAAAGGCAATAGAATTAAAAAAAAAAAAAAATGTTGGCCAAAATAAAACTCTGTAGCATTCCTCTGTGAGCGAAATCAAAATAGGAAAGTTCATTCCTTGTCGTAGTTACTATGTAAGCATATGTGCCTTCTAACCACACATACGTAAAGTATTTATATGCACTTGTGTGTACATGCGTATGTATATACATACATATGTATGTATATGGACTTGCATAAATATCTTTTGCCCTATATGGTAAATGTTTACAGCTTTGTTTACACAGTGCAAAAATTGGTAATTGTTTGCAGCCAAAACTATTGCCATTGTTGCATCTGTGTATGCATTGTGTTTTTGTGGCAAACATGTGTACGACTTTTTCAATTTTATTTTACGATTTCTGTTCGGCTGCAAATCTTTTGCTAATTGTTCTTTTCATCGTCCATTTCTGGTGGCTTCATTACAAACAATGTGGAAACCAATTCAAAACATCAATTTCTCTCCAAAGCGAAAGTCAATTGTTTATACATATCTACATATGAAGGTCGGTAGCCTACTTTACCTAACTCCAAAACTTAAGTAAGTAAATGCATACATACATATTCACAAACAATTTTTTTTGCTTACAAAACAATGTATGTATGTATGCATTTGTGCTTATGGCAAATCGCTGGACTAGCCAGTTTCGTTTATTGCAATTTTCAGATTTTTCCACTTTTACATCCCCTTCTAGATTGTGGCCACCACTATTCTTGCTATAGTCCTGGTTTTGGTTTTTGCCCTTTTCAACTTTCCTTTGTTCTTGCATTTCTGTTATTTGCCCATTCTTCGGCCAATTTTGTCGGCTTTCCTTGCACATGCGGCGAAACATTTCATTTCGACAGCAAATTTCTTTGCTTTTGTTGGTATTGCCGCCATGTCTGTCTGGTCATTGGAATGCAACAGAGAATTTTTAATTGGTATCAAATTACGCTGAAGTTTCAGCAGCAATACTTTCTAAATTCTCCATTATATGCAAGATGCTTTTCCTTTTTTGTTGTTAGAGTTGTTTTGCATTAGCTGGCTGGGGTAAGAGAAGAGCCTCCTCTCGTGTTGCACAGTTTTTTTTTTTGTTGTCTCACATGCCTAGTTTTGTATTTCTTTTTAGCTAAGAGTAGTTAGTTAGTAGGCTGCTTTATCGTGCGCTTTGTTGCTATTTTCATTTAACTGACTTCTTGTTGCAGAGACTGTTTAACGCCTGACTAGTACTGGAAAAGAGAAGAATATAAATGTTTCCAATTTTAAAGCTTTATGGTGTTATCTTAAAGAGTAGCTCTACAGATTTTGATTAAATTTTATAAAGTTCTAAGCTGTAAAGAACAAACTTACAATCAAAAGCAGATTAACAAAGGTTCAAAGGGTGGCGTGCATTATGATCACGGGGGCGTTGCCCTCAACGCCGACTAAAGCCCTAGAGACTTTGCTCCATTTTCTACCTGTGGACCTATATGGCAAACTGCAGGCAAGTTGTAATGCTGTTAGATTAAACGCGCTGATCAAGTGGAGTGATACAAGATTTGGACACTCTAGAATATTGGAAGATCTTCCAGGAAACTTCAGGCGCCTTGACTACACATTCCCGCCTACTGGACTAAAGAATGACTTCCAAACAAGGATCCCCTCAAGAGGTGAGTGGGAGGAGGATTCAATCCTGATCTCTTATTCTGATTCAGCAGCCATCTACACCGATGGCTCCAAGCTAGATCTGAAGGTAGGAAGTGGGATATATTCGCAGGAACTCTCACTTAGCCTCAGTTTCCGTCTGCCAGATTACTGTAGCGTGTTTCAGGCTGAACTAACAGCAATCTACGAAGCTGCTAGATGGCTGATCGATTCTCCTACTAATCTGCATGCAGTAACTATTTTTTCTGATAGCCAGGCAGCTATCAAAGCACTTAATTGTGACAAATCCTCATCGAAGATTGTCATGGAATCACGTGCAGGATAGCGAGACACATCTGGCCTAGGTTAGATAAGCGTAGATCTCGCCCTCTCTTTCGTTTGGAGCGACCAATGCTCCGCCATGTTATCGGAATTCTCACCGGGCACTGCCTTATGGGAACCCACGCTGCCAGGATGGGTCTGCAGCCAAACGACTACTGTCGTAGCTGCCGCGATGAGGAGGAGATCGAGAGCGTGGAGCACTACCTGTGCCACTGTCCCGCCTTGGCAAGAGCCCGTCGACGCTCGCTCCTTCGCTATTCTTTCGAGTGTCTGGCTGAACTGGACTCGGCCAGTATCTACGATTTTGTGCGCTTTATCAGAGCTACAAATTGGTTCAATTTCTGAGGTAGGAGGAGGGACGTATGAGTCTCAAATATGGTATCACAATGGGCCCATGGAGGCCTAAGTGTGCCCTTTCCTGCGCGGATGAGGGCAGCCAGGATAACCTAACCTAACCTAACCTAAGCTGTAAAGAACCATTGGAGCTTAAATCGCACGCTTTAATGTGAAACAATCAGCATGTGTATATTAATACGCTAACATAAATTGTGTCACCGTTCGTTTGGAGATTCTGCCGAACCGACTTCAAAGCCAAGAACATCATTGGAGAGTGGTACTTTTCTGTAGTTGAGGGAAGTTTGTATGGCTTCAAATTTGATTGTTGCTGAAACCTGTGCAATTTTGCATTTTCTTTTACTTCGTATTTGAAATTAAACTTAGTAATAAAGATAACTGCGATGTTGAAGAAATAAATGATGACGATTAACTAAGAGAAAATAGTTAAGGCAAAATTGAAGATAAAGACGAAAATGAAAACAATGAGAAATCAATAAGAATTAGAGTAACTTAAAGAGTGAGAAAATAT